TTTTTTTAACCAGGGACCCCTTACTATGGGGCAAAGCTCAGTGCATCACAGAGCTGCTTAGGTGGAATGGGCAGTGGGTTATCTCCAAGGGACACAGTCAGGAGAACTGGTGCTGTATCCTGCCTTCTTCCACATCCTCAGCAGTTACTGTGGGTTCAGGTTCCCCTCTCTGCCAGTGAGTCAGCTTCACTATGAGGCCTTGTAGAGCCCAACAGAGGAAGCAGCTGGCTTTCTCAGGACCCAGGGTGGCAATTGGAGGCTCCTTTGTTACCACCTTCCTACTTTGCATGGGGATCCATCACCCACACATGACATTCTTGGTGGATAGCTTGTGTGGGTCTCTGTTTCAGAATGCCTTCCCCAGTGGAGATGGAGGTGCTGCAGGTAAAAGGTAACTGGCAGCCCATGATATGGGCTTAGAACTGGAAGGCTGTGGGAAGGATGCCTGCCTCATATTTCCTGGGCATGTGTATCAACCAGGCCAACCTGAGGGACTCAGTTGGGTCCTGGACATTTATAATCCCCAATGTTCAGGTCTGGAGTATGGAGAAACACAGAGTTGGGTTGTGGGAAACAGGGGCTCCTGTCCTAGGACTGATGATGTGCTACTGTTCAGCATGCTGTGTCTTAGTTTCACATCTCACTGATTTGTGGCAACCCTGGTGTCATGGGAATGGTGTCTTAGCAGCTTCCTTAAGTTGAGTTCTAGAGCCCTTGTGCCAGGTGCCAGGAAGAAGTCACAGGGCAGGAGGTGACAGACATCAGGTGCCTGGCTCTGATTTCTTGTCTGGGGTGGTTTCTCCTTTGAGCTGACCAGGCTTTCCCTTTAGATTTCTGGTCATGAGGAACTCTGGAATCCAGTAACCTTTCTTGTTCACACGTGGATCTGTAGGGAAGAAGTGTGAACACCTTTGTTCAAGCCGTTTGCAGTGAGAGATGAGAGCTGCGGTTTACTGAGTGGCTTGTGTCTCTCGTGTCTTGTATCAGAGTTGAGTTTGGTCATTCCTTTGTATTTTTCTTGGCAATTTGGTTATAACATCCAATTTCTCAAAGAGCCTCAACTTCTTCCCCTAGGCTCAGCATTAGTGCCTTCATTTGCAAAACGGGCACAGGGTGTTTGCTGCCCGCCTCATTCTTCAGAGGGCAGGAGGAGTTCAGAAAGGGTTGAGGTGCCTGACTGTGTACTTGACTGGGTAAACTGTGGTGCGGGCAGGCAGAGTGCATCCATCTAGCTTTCTGTTTTATTTGGGGAGCGGGACACTTAGGAGACTGATCTTTTGAGTGACAGGCACAGAAGTAGGCTTTCTGCTCACTGTGTGCCATATACCTTCTGAAATTCTCACATCCATGCTTCATGGCTCTAATTGCCGTCCATATGGCATCCTTTAAGGCCTGCTCTAATCATTTTATGCCAGGCTTCTTTTAGGAGACAGAAATGTCAGAAATTGGTGGCTGCCTGCTGGACCTCTTCACCCGTGTGCTCGGATCTGTCTTGTCCTTTCCTGTCCCCTCTCTCCACCTGTGCCTCTTTAGTTTCCTGGTGAGTGGCTGTCTTGTTGTCACCAACAGTAAGAGAATGGAGACAGAAGAAATGGAAGAAGGATTGGAAGAGGGACTGGAGCTTGAATTGGGGCTGAAGGGGAACTTGAAGTATAGGCAGGGGCCAAGGAGGCCAGCAGGCACTACAAGGACTGTATGTTTCCAGGCTGTAGAAAATAGACTAGCCCAAGTAGAGATATGTCTGGCATTGGCCCTAGATGGAAGAGAGGTGTGGGGAACCCTGGAGGACTGTGGTTCTGGGACCAGTGAGGGGTTTGGATGTTGCCTGAAATTTAAGCATTGTAGAAGACTTTTTCTTTTTCAAGACAAGGTATTCCTCTATAGGCTAAGCTGGAATCAGACTCATGGAAGTCCTCCTGCCTCAGCCTTCTGCATACTGATATTACAAGTGTGAGCCACCATGTCCTCCTAGATGTCTCTTTCTTTTTTTTGTCTTTTTGAGACAGGGTCTCCCTGTAGCCCCAGCTGTCTGGATCTTACTATGTAGACCAGGCTGGCCTTGAACTCACAGAGATCCGCCTGTACACCACCATGCCCAGCTAGATGTCTCTTTTTAAAAGGAAGGCTCTGCCAGGCTCTTCCAGAGTCTAGTGTGGTGGCTTGCACTGTCTGTGTGTGTGTTATTTATTATTTAATGGCGGTGACTTTGGCCTTCTGTGTCTCTACTGCCTTTGGGTACCAGCTGTTCTTGCTCCATTCACTTTGCCCTGAAGAGAAGTAAAAGTTCCAACCATCATAGTTTTTCTTTTGGTTTTCAAAGTTTTATTATTTGAAAAGAAGTGGCAGAGGAACATGAAAGCCATGGTTGAGAAGAGGTTTCTAAGTGGGGGCAGATAGTATTTCCATTGCAAGTGACAGAAACTTAGCTCAAACTATCTTGGGCAAAAAGGGAAATTTCTTGATATATAATACAGTCAAATGTTGTGTAATGACATTTGAGTCAATGACAGGTCACATGTCTGACAACGGTCCTATTATATTACCCAATGACATTTATATAAGTAAACTCCATGATGGGCCTATAATGATGGAATCATCTAAGTGTCTCAGAACACATGTCTCAGTGACATATAAGTACAGTCTAAACATTGGGATGGATGGGGACAGTTGACTTCTGAATACTGTGAGCTTTTCCATGCTCCTGGAATGTGATCTGAGGTCCCTGTGGCTTCATGTTCTCAGGCCTTGGCTAGAGAAGAAAGGCATCCCTACTAGTCAGTCCAGGCAGAAAAATCTTCTAGGAGATTCTGATTGACCTAACTGGGGCCTTGTGTCCATTTGAGGCCCAGGGACTGTGG